AATCTTTAATGACACGTTTCCTCCTTCATGTTTTTGATATGTAAATCTTTTTTGTTTTTAACTGACCATGGGCTCAAAATATCACAACCTTTTGAAACTGAGCATGTTTTGAGAGAGAGAATTGTGGTCATGATATACCAATGTGTAGGATAACTGGAGGTGTCTGGCCTCTTTCTAGAACTAGTCACTGGGGCTTGGGAATGTGGCTCAAGTGGTATAGTGCTTGCTCAGAAGTATGAGGAATTGAGTTCAAGCTCCAGTACTGCCAAAAGTAAAACAACAACAAAAAGCCTTTTTTTAGAACCAGTCACTAAAATGCAGATATTTGGTTGCAAAGCTGTTCTTCCTTTGCAGTGTGAGTGAGGCATGTGCAACCATGTAGTACCTGCTCAGGACCTTTATGGCACAGAGGGAAGGGAAAGAGTATCTCAAGGGTTGGGCACAGTACTGAGAACTGGTCGATCCCTGTTTCTGTATTGCTGTGCTTTTCTCTACCAGGAGGCAAATCAAAGGAAGTGAAAGTTCGTTCTTTGGTGGCAACTTTTATGGGCAAATAATTTTCAGCTATATGAGATGGTTCTGTGTGTTTAAAATACTGATGGTGTCCCCATTTCCTTTAACTACCATTCTGTTCTTGCTTTTCACTCTGGTAATGCCTGAGAGCATGTTACTTGGTTTTCAGCTGTAGTCACTTAGTCCAGTCTCTCTATTTTAGGGGTTTGTTAGGTTTTTTTTTTTTTGTATTTTTGTTTTATTTGAGACAGGGTCTTGCTTTATAGCCCAGGCTGACCTTGAACTCAAGATCTTCCTGCCTCTACCTCTTGAGCACTGGGTTTACAGGTGTGTATCACTATGCCTGGCTTGTTAAGCATTTTTTAGTGCAAAATCTGAGTCCTGGGAGTCCAGAGACCTGTTTATTTTTTATTTCAGTGCCAGTTTTGTTACTTCCTTAGTGTGTGACTATACACTAAATACTGCTTTGAATCTCAATTTCCTGATCTGAAAAATGAGTTAAATTAATTAATCCTCATGGTCTTGTGAATTCTGTGAGTCTGACAGAAATGTTACCCAGTCACATGTTACAAACATGAGCCAGGTGTAAAGACTTTTCAGATATATTCTGCCCCTGGATGCTTGACACCCCAGTAGTTAAATCATTGGCAATTTTCATTCTGATTCAAAACAGCATCTTCTGGTAATCACTGAGTGTTTCTTGTTCTCTTAGCAGAGGTTCAGAATCCCTTGATGTTATAGTTTTGATTAGCTAGAAAGATGTTTCTTTTCAGAGTAAGTAGAATACATAATGAAAGAGTGTGGTGGACCATGCAAGAGAGTGCTTTCTTGCTGCACAGATGGAATATTCCATTTCCTGATGCCAGAGATGTTCTAAACAAAGAGATTCATTTTATTTAGCGACATGGCTTCTCTAGCCCAATATTTCTTATCTCACTCTGTTCGAAGAAGCTGCCAATGGTTCCTAAACCGAAACAATGTGATTTAGTGAGCAGTTCAGAAGGGACCAGGTTCTCAAGTTGCATGTAAGATTGGCCTGTTTTCCATCTTGACCGTAAGTGCATCCATGTTGGAAAACAGAAAAGAAACTAGTCTCTTGGTTGCAGGACAGCTGCCGCAGTACATATGTATTTGAACACAGTATGAGTGTTTAGGGCCATTTAGGGCTTTTTCTTAACCATCTCTGGCCATTGAGAGAAGTGGGAATTTCTGCATCTCCTTCAGCTTTTTACAGATGTGGAGTTTTAAGTAGTTTTTATATAATAGTCAAAACGTGACTGTTAATTTCTAGAATTATGCTTAATTTTATGTGATTCTCTCTTTTCCATGAAAAATGAGTCCACATCTCTTAAAGAATGGGATAGGCATCAGGCATACTGAAACCTGACCCTTTTTGGGCCATGGGACATACATTTACCACCAGAGCAATTATGCCTCTAAACAACAGTGATTCACCTCAAGGGTATAACACATGCCCGAGAACCAAGACCTGGGAAATCTCAGGTGCTGTACTCTTTCTCTTTCCTCTGGGCTCTGGAGTGCTCTAAAATTACACGACTTTTGGGTATGGGTCACTTGATTAAAACTGGAAGCATGTTTAATCTATAAAACACCCTGTAATGGAAAATGACTAAATCAAGTTGGTTTGAAATGAATCCTTTATGGTCTTTTATAACTTTATTGGGTTTTGACATGTTTTGGTAGCTCCCAGGTGGAGGAGGGTAAAGGGAGAGAATTTCCTAGTTCAGAATAGTGAAAGACTTGGACTTGTCTTGCCTTTGTTGTAACTAGTGGTGTGATGTTAGGCAACCTGACTAAACCCCCCATGCCTCAGTTTCTGGAGATGCCAAGTAACTGCTTTTACTTCCTAGCCAAGTTTTTGTGAGAGTAAGGCAGAACATATTTCTGTGTCTTGAAAATGTTAAAGTCATGGTGATTACCTAGAATAGTATGGCATTTGATATGAAATAGATACCTTCAATAGCTATGTTCAAAATTAAATTAAAAGGGTCATAGTTGGGACATTAGCTCTCTAATTAACGTTTTCTGCAACAAGGTTTGAACCCAGGCTGCAATTTATACCAGACAGTAATAGTGAATGAGTTGGAGATTTAGTCTGTTTTCGTGGTTTCAGGAGTCAAGTGTGAGAACTTAATGTTAGCTGCAGGTTTTCAGTGTGACATTTCTGATTGGAGCAGTCTCTGTCAGCCTTTGCTTCAAGAGGAGGTAGAAACAACGTCCTTCTGGCTTGGTGGATATCTACCTGCTCAGATACCATGTCTGTCCTGGAGTCCTCCAGAGGCCTGCGGGAAGGGTGAGGAGAAGTCAGATGGGCTCCCTGGGCTAGAATCCTGGAGCCTTCCCTTGGCTTACTTTCTGCTCATTGTGCATCCTGGGCCCTGTCACTGGAGAGGCCTGGCGGGGAACTAAGGAGGAAGCAAGTGCCACTACTAGTTCAGAATGTTCAGTGTAGTTGGAAAGTTTGAGAAGCAGCCTGGGTGAGAAGTACAAGACCTTGTTGACAGGGTTCAGTCTTGGTTAGGTCTGTTTCACATCAGCTTTCTGAATAATCACAGCTCTCCCCACCCGAGAGATCTCTAGCCCACTCGCTTCTGTCTTTGCTAATTCATGTATAATTTTTTAACATTCTATGTGGCTATGATAGAACATAAAGTATTTTTAACTTTTTATTCTAAGAGAATTACAAAGTATGAAAACTATAGTATTTATTGTGTGCTTTAAAACAATAGTATAATAACAGGGCTTTCCAACCAGTTGTCAAATTGTTCTTATTGCAAATATTTTTCTATAAAGCTGTTTTTCTCATTGATTTGTGGGGATAATGATTACTTTAAAACATTTTTAGTAGTCATGTAGGCCAGCCAGGCTTGCCCTGGCCTGGGTTGGTCAGCTTCATGATCTGACTTAGTCAACATACTGGGTATGTACAAACTATGTACATTATAAGATTGGAGTGAAGGCCAAACCCTTTCTCTTCTCCATGGGTCTGCAGATTAGAATATTTATGTCAGTAAGTCAGAAGAAAATCTGTTAGAGGTTTTAATGAACCACAAAATATTTCCCTTGTACATTACCTTGTCATTCTGCCTGAATTAACTCATGACCTTTGCATTAATGTTGTAAACCCTTGCTTGGCAGCCTGGTCATCTTCATGCAAAGGGTGTCTCCAGTTCCAGCTTTAGGTTTAGTCATGATAATAGGCTTGGTTCATTTTTTTCTTTTTCCTGGAATATCTGGTAGGCACTTTTGAAGCTCAAAGAGATATTTTAATTTTTTTGGACTAAAGAGAAAACCCAAACCTTCCCAACTACCTTTGTGTACACAAATTTGCAGTAGTTTGAGCCTCCTGGTTTTATGTTTAAGTCTGCATAGAATGGAAGGGGCTCCATACTGGGGCTGAAATTAGAGAAACAATTATAAATTGTTTATAAATACGTGTCCAATTTGTTTTCTGAGAAAGGTGACTTGTTTAAGTATCTCTAGAATAGTTATTGCTCAACTTTTGAACTCTTACTTGTTTAATTAGGTATCTCTCACACTTTATTTCCCTAAAAATGGTGCACATAAAATAGTTTAGTTTAAATAGAGACCCAGAAATTTAAAAAAGCCAGTTGAGAATTTAAACACTTTTTATCATAAGGTAGGAGTTAACTACATGATTTAAGATTAATACAAATGAAGTGCTTATTATTTTATAAAAGTTAATATCCTCTTCCTTTTTAAAGTTTATATGTATATGTACATACATGTGCTGTGATAATACAAATCTGATCATATTTGCCTCACACCTAATATATACATATATACCCTAAAACCCTTTAAACCCCACCATTGACTTTTTAGAACCCTTGGACTTAGCAGCCAACTGTCCTCCAGTGCCTGGAAGCCCCACCCCACCAAAAGGTGCTCTCGCTTTCCAAGTCCTCCTTGGCCTTCTCCTCTCTACTGAGCAGCCTTTTTCAGTAATGTCAACACTCTGTGTTCTCTGCCTCCTCTTGCACTTGCCCTTCTTTCTCTGCAAGTCCCTCTAGCTCCCATCTCATCCTCTGCAGCGATTCCTTTTTTTTACCGCTCCCCCAGAATTTGTTGTATTCCTCTTTTATGTTTCTGTAGTACAAAGGCATTTTGCGTTGTGTACATATTTGCGTATTTCACATAGCTTGTAAGTGGCAAAACTTAAGCCCAAATCCGTGTGGTTCTGAAACTTTGTGTTGCCTTTGAGTACCTCCTTGGATTTCTGTGGAACTCACATGAATTACTGGCTGGGAAAATGCTCTGTGAATGGTGAAACACCATGCATTGCATATTGTCATTATCACAACTGGTTTTATTTTGGTTGTCATGATCCTTAATTTTAGTTCAGGTGGACTTTTAAATTCTTTTCTCAAAACCCTTAGTATAGGCCATCTTCCTGTACCATGTACTACCATGAATCTGACATATGCCAAATTTTCCTCTTTTTCCAGGATGGTTCGTACTTGGCTGAGTTCCTGCTAGAGAAAGGCTATGAGGTGAGTGACTGATGCAGTGGGCCAGTGGTGATGGGATCTGTGGGATGTAGCCACTTCTCCTCCTCTGCAACTTCCATGGAAACTGATAACAAATCAGACTCTGGTGCAGACTGTGCTGTTGTGCCTATGATGCTGCCAGCTCATTGTCTGTGTGATCGTGAGCCCTGGTGGTACAGCCATTCTGCATGCCGCTCATATTCCCAAGAAAGCAGCAGCCTGTGTGAGCCTGACTATAACATTATAAGGGTTAATTTATGATGTAATGTGTTACATAAAAATGTGTCACAGTGAAGTCACTTCATTCGGAAATTGCACAGAGCAATAAAAACCAAGTTGATCTTTGGTGAGCTTGAATGCAAAATTTACACCTGGAGGTTTTTGCTTTCTCTAATAGGCAGCATATATTTTGTGGACGGTGAAATGTAAATTTGCTCTGCTGCTGCTGCTGTCATTGTCACTTTTGTTTCTCCTTCAACATTTTCTCCTTAAAAGAAACACAGGTTTTTACACTAAATTTGATGTACAAAAGAACATGCACCTTACATATACACGTGTATAAATTTATGCTCTATAGAGAATAAAAACCTACACAATGGTTCATATACTCTGACCTGCTTGGGGAATGTTTACATTGATAGTTTTGTATTGACTTTTATCCCAATTATAGGACATTTCATAAAATATGTGCAGTTAGGCAAACGGAAAAACAACAGCAAGGAATCTGACCTCTAAATGCCAATAGGATTCGAAGAAAAGGAAATTAGTTTTCTAATCGTACTCATAATCTTTTTGGAGAGCCTTCATTTTTACACTTTAAAAAATCATAGTGGAGTGTTTCATACCTTCTGTACTTTCATATAATAGTTCTACAGATCAATATTAAAGACAAATGTAATTATGAAAGTACATATGTACACATATGAAGAGATTACTATAATAATCAGGAGTATTTGCAGACCAGAAAGCTCTAGAATAGGTCATGTATGGTGCAAAAAAGTAGATTTTAAGAAAAGTCTTAGCTACTCTTTACTGCTTTAATAATTATGGTGAGGTGTGGCAGAGAGACTTTTTTTTTTTCCTTTTTGCAGTACTGGGGTTTGAACTTGGGGGCTTTACTTCGAGTCACTCCACTAGCCCTTTTTTTTGTGATGCGGGTTTTCAAAATAGGTCTCATAAACTGTTTGTCTGGGCTGGCTTTGAACCTCGATCCTCTTGATCTTTGCCTCCTGAGTAGCTAGGATTTCAGGTGTGAGCCACTGATGCCCGGCTGGCAGACTTTTGTAATGCTGTTTCAGATGCGTGGGACCTTCTGAGAAGTAGCCAGAGATGTTGGTGAAGTACAAGTGAACCAGGATGAGTAGCTAGCTAGGTGAGTGGTTGTCTTTTCAGTTTTGAAGAGGGAGGTGGTGTGTCTGGAGTGAATCTCTAACTGCACAGGTGTTGTGACTTACTTTGAGGTGGACTTTGATGTGGACACAGCGGTTTGAGAGTAGAGGTGAGGTTCGTATCAAAGGCAGTGTCTGTATCTAGTTCAGCAGATAATGGGTAGATTAGTGGATGGAAAGGGTCTGGGGCTAGTCTGACTGTGTAGATATTAACCGTTCTCAGGCAGGAGGGCTCCACATGTGGGTATTGTTAGTGCTACTAGAAAAGGCTGGGAAGGAGCTACAGGGAGAAGCAAAGCTCCATTCAGGTGTGTCTCCTTAAGGAACTAGCAGACTTTAGAAAGCAGGTAGGATGAGAGATTTGGAAACAGTAATGAGAGACCAGAACTGCTTGGTTAGTTGTAAACGTTTGTATTCTACTGACATTTGAAATTATAAGAACAGATTTGATTCTGATATAGAAAGACAATAGAAGGCCCACTTGGCAAATAACAGTTAGTTAAGAGGAATTTATCACAGAAACAATGATTGGACAGAGAGGAGAGGTTTAGAAGTGAGACCCATAAACTGATAGAAGAAAACATTATTGATAATACAGCGGGGAGTACAGAACCCCAAAGCACAAGTAGAAACAAATCCTCCTGTGTTACAGAGGAAATGTGAGGTGTATACATATGGTGGGAGGAAAGGGTGTTTATCTGTATTGAATTTTAATAGGTTCCCATCTCAATTTTAACAGATTGATATAATTGGAGAATAAGCTATTATGAGGAGTCTATGGTGAGGCATCATCTTTTTCTGCTTAGCACAGCAAATGTTAGAGTGATTTTCAAATTGGCAGCATTGGAAAATTTCCACTTTGATTAGCTAACAGTGGCAAGGTCAGCCTGACTGACTGTGAAGGAGGCAAGTAGAGGAGCAGACCCAGAGGCAGTAATGACTGGGTGGTATAGGCAAGAACAAACCTTATGTGTAGAGTTAGTACAGCACAGTTAATTCTTTTATTCTCTCTCTAGTCAAAGAAAAAAAACAAAACAAAAGAACAACAACAACAACAACAAAACCCCAGGAAAAACTACTTGAGAGGCAGAGATCTGGAGGATGGCGGTTCGAAGCCAGCCCCAGGCAACCAAGATACTATCTTGAAAAATCACATCTCAAGAAAGGGCTGGTGGAATGGCCCAAGGTGTAGGTCCTGAGTTCAAACTCCAGTGCACCAAAAAAAGAAAAACAACAACAAAAAAAAAAACACCTAGAAAAAGCACAAATGATTACCTAAACTTCAAAAACAGACATTTGTGAGTGGCTTGAAAAGGAATAGCATCTATCAGCAGATTGATTAGTAGTAGTTAATTGCCTTGTGTGATCACACATGCCTTTGCATTTCTGAAACCTCGGGGACTGGCCATTTAGTTTAGCCACTGAAATCTATGCATCTGATCATGTTCTGAATGGCCATTCAAAGTGTAAAAGTAAAGTATAGTCATCCTTTGGTATCATCAGGGGGTTATTTCTAGGACCTCTCGCAGATATCAAAATCTGAGGGTGTTCAAGTCCTTTATATAGTATGGTATAATATTTGCCTATTACCTATGCAGTCCTTCCATATACTTTAATCTCTAGGGTACTTATGATACCTAATACAATTCAAGTATTATGTAAATAGTTGTATTTGTTACAGAATAATCATAAAGAAGAAAGTGTGTATATTTTCAGTATAGTGTAGTTTAAAAAAAATACTTTGTAGTAGATTGAGTCAATGGATGTAGAGCCTATGGATACAGAGGACTATGTTGCTTTATCTCTATTCCATTTCTTACTGAGAAGAGACATAGTAAGAATTACAGTTTTTATTTTTTGTTTCTTGAATTTTACTGAGGACTAAACATTAAGGAAAGTATAAAGAGAATGGATTCAACATTTGTTTGTTCTTTATTGATACCTGCAGATGTCCTCTCATAATAAGGAAAACTAATAATTATTAGGTTTTATGGAAAATTACCCTGTAAATCCTTTATATACTTAATTCTGCATCTTGCTAAAGCACAAAAGACCTTTCTCCTTTATATCCCGCTGATCAGCACAAAGCAAGGGAATGGAATAAGCAGTCTAGCCTGTTTAACAAGGGAATCTTGTGGCTTGAGCACTGGATGGCCTATATCTTAATCTTCCTCTGCCTTTGCTGGCTGTGTGTCCTTAAGCAAGTCACTTGACCCCTCTAAGTCTTGACTGTAAATTGGGATGATGAGCACACGTATCTCCCAAAGTTGCTGTAACCATTAGGTAAGACAGAAAATGGAAAACACTTAACTAGTGGGGGTCTGTGAGATGCAATTTGCTCATGGATGCAGGAGTGAATGAGAGGCAGTGTCTGATGCTGACAAGCCAGGGGAAACATGGTGTAGAGGGCTCCTTAGGCCCATTCATTCATACTGAATGGCTGAAAGGCTGGCATGTTCTCTTGCCTAGGATGTTGGAGCAATCTTCGTTCCATTCCATTGTTACAGAAAAAGGAAAATCAACACAAGTAAATCTTTTTATGGAAGCACATGTGAGCTCTAAGTGCTTTTCAGCACCATTGTTAGCAGATAAGCTGACAATATACTGCTAACAACATACTCTTGTGCCAGCTTTACACAGAGGAAAGCCAGAGAAATAAAAGTTGAACTCTTTAAAAGCTAACATTTGTGATTATATTAAATCATGTGACAAGAACAACAATAACATAGCATATCAGAATTTAAAATAAAGAATAGGAGCTAGTGGAGTAGGTCAAGTGGTAGAGCACTTGCTTAGCAAAGTGAGGCCCTGAGTTCAAATCCCAGTACCACCAAAAGAATAGGTACACTGTGGGGTTTCCATCCAGGAAAGGAACTATTCCCACCTCCTCTGAAGTAGAGTATAAAAATAGAAAGGAAATGGGATGCCAGAATTGTTCGATTGCTATCTCTGGGAGATTGTTAGCATATGAAGGTCTTAATACTTCTTTTATTGATCTGTGAGAATATGTGAAACTTTTTTTTTTCCCTGGGTTGTTGGTTATGCCAAAAGCCTGGGTACTTTGCTTTGAAAAAAGGCCAAGGTTTTTTTATAGATTTCATTTATACACTGTAGTGAGTATGGGCAGTGTTGGCCACGTTTATCCTTTAACAATACCACTTATTAAGAGTTGTGTGATGTAAGGAGTGTTCTCAGCCGAAGAATGGGGATAATAACAGTACAGGTGTTGTGAAGAGTAAGTGATTTAATAGCTATAAAGAATAATGGCTGGCACAAGGTCACTGCAGTGTAAATGTTAGCTGTTGATACTGCCTACACAAAGGTGAATGGCATTAACCATTCCTGGGAGGCATCCTGCTTCTAAGAGAAACTTAGACACTAAAGAATCTAAAATTGAATGGTAAGAACTTCTCATTTTCTTAATTATAGTAAAAAAAAAGTAAAGCATTTTTCTCTTATAGTGTAATATGACTCTAGGTTTTAAAATCCATTCAGCTTTGTTCTGACACTGAGAGAACTTGAAGTTGTTCTCTTTACCTAGTTCACTGGAATGTGAACTTTTTTTGGTTATCCTTTTCATTTATTTTAAGACCTCAGTTTTTCAGAATTATATTTTGTTTTTGAACTACTATAATGCAATAACCATACTGATTAAGTTTATATAAAGTCATTCAGCTCATTTATCTTTTCAGTTTGGTTTCCTTACTTTCATTTTCTCCCAAAATCCTTACAAAAACAAACAGAAATGCCTACATCCTTTCTGTAAAGAGAAAGCTGCTAATCTCAAATTCTTAACTAGTTTACTGAGTTTGCACACATTTTGGCTTGTTTTAGAATTTGTATTTCACATGTCTCAGAAGTAGACAGAACCAGCTTTCATTAGTTCTTAGAATAATACTTGCTGTCATGTATTAAGCATTTGGCAGGCCTTTCTTTCCTTGTAGACACATACCAAAAATTGGGAGTTGGGGGAAATTAAAACACTTTTTATTTTTCAATTAGGAAAAAACAAAACAAAAAAACCTAGCACAATGCTTTTCATTGTCAGTGTGACATTAAGGGCCTATGTTACAGATTTGTGTAGTCTGCTTTTTACACTGAATCCATCAAGATAATTTGATATTTTTTATCAAAGCTTTTGATGTATAGATAATATATACATTTTATATATATATATATATCATAGTTCTCTTACAAGTTAGGCTATTAGAATGTGTGATTTCTCTAGAATTCGGTAATCAAGAGGTCACTAATAATATTATTTTATTATAATATCAAAGTTGAATTACCTATTTTTAGAACATAAAATAGAAATTCTTCCCTATCAAGCACAACAAAACACTTACATCTGAGGAATCTATATTTCAGAAATAACTGGTGGTAAATACCAACTTTCCTATATAAAAATATGTATGTGAAATTGTTCTTTATTAAACAAAATTCATTAATTTTGCACAGCAGTTTAACTTTATGATTCAGCAGCTTGAAAAGTCAATACCATAGAGCAGAATAAATTCTGAGCTTAATTAGTGCTGTTTTCTACACTTCTAAATTAGGAGTAGCTATGTATAGCCACATCTCAATTTAATGCTTCCTAGATTTTATTGTTTGTTTCCTAAAATGTCAACCAACTTTGCAGTATTCTTTTCCTAAAATATTTTCATATTTACAAACTTTTCTTGGGTTTCATTATTCTGGAAAATGATGGTGATGAGTGCTTTTCTGTTGGCTAAAGTAACTAACCAATAGAGTTATTAATTGTGGGCATGTTGTAGCCGTTGGAGAAGTCATTTTCTCATGTATGCCACGTAAAATGACAGTGGCATTTCTTTCTGTTGGAAAGAAAGTTTTAATGTGCTTATAATTTCTCCCTTGCATTTGGAATATTTGAGTCATGCCAGGGATTAATTTTTGGTTTGAAGTAGACAGAAAATCATTGAGCTAAAATATAGAAGTGTATTCAGCTGCAAATGAAACTACTCAACATTGGAAGGAACACTTCTAAAATAAGTCAAGGATTAAAATTGCCGCCAGTGGAACTGGAACTTGGGCAACTGGTGACATAAGCTGGTGTTAGCTTTGGCAGCATAAAGAGCAATCTTGACACTAGAATGAAGTAGGATCAGTTCTGGAATAATTTCTCCTATATATCAGACACACATAGTCTTTTCTTCAGTATTAGATAGGCTTGGATTCCTGTCCCAGTGACCTTATCCCCTTGCATTGATCATGGCTATGTCAAGATAAAGTGCAAATATTAAATGTCTCTTAATTTGAGTTTTTTTTATGTTGTAAATTGGGTCCTTAACCTTTTCACTTTAGCTTTCTGACTTTTCTACACAGCTCTGTTTAATAATAATTGCTGTTCAATTTTAACTGTGACCCCAGAAATATGTATATAATAGATGCAACATGCAGTAGTTCTGAAGACTCTGGAAAGATGTAGAGGCCTCATGCTCTGTGTTAAATAGGCCACAAAGCACTTTAAAGATGTAGCCTTATGTGGTCTGTCTTTAGTTTCAAATTGAAGAGATACTTTTGTCATCAGAAAGGCTCAAGTGTGTGTGTGTTTGGAAAAAGAGACATTTGAGTATCTACCACTAAGCATGCAGTCACATATTTATCTAACTATGTTTGTTGAGATAGGCAGTAAAAACACTGGAGAAACACATAGGCGATGGTAACTGGCAGGCAATGATCAGGAGCAAGTAAGCAGCAGAACAATTTCTAATACTTGATAAATAGTATGTTTTCATAGAGTCAAAAATTAGCAAAAGAACTTCTAAGTTGTTTAGTAATCATCAGTGCACATTTATAATTTACTTTTGTCTTTTTGTACTTAAAACTTAGGTCCATGGAATTGTACGGCGATCTAGTTCATTCAATACAGGTCGAATTGAACATCTCTATAAGAATCCCCAAGCTCATATTGAAGGAAGTAAGTCATTTTAATTCTCTAAAATCTCTTTCTATAACTTCCTATCATCAGAGAAGATGTTTTCAATGTCATTTTTCTCAAAGTTCATCCTGTCACAGTTATTTGCCTATGAATTATTACATAAGAATATGACCTACATGCCTATGAAAACCTTTGTTGTTGCTTGCTGCCCTAGGCTGTAGTATCATCTTGGTTTGGCTATTAAGAGGATATTGAGGCTGGGCCTAGTGGCTCAAGCCTGTAATCCTGGCTACTTGGGAGGCAGAGATCTGGAAATTGACGGTTCCAGGCCATTTTTTTTTTTTTTTTTTGTGAGCTCAGGGCTTTGTACTTGCAGAACAGGTGCTCTACCATTTGAGCCATACCTCTAGTCTGTTTTGGTTATTTTGGAGATGGGGCCTCATGAACTGTTTGCCTGGGATGGCCTTGAACTGTGATCCTCCCAGTCTCCACCTCCCATATTGCTAGTGTTACAGATTTGAACCACTGGGGCCTGGCTCTGCAGGTTCTTTAAAGATGACAGCTATACTCTGCAACTTCAGAACCATCAAATAGCAATGTTTCCTTGAGGCTAGCTATCTAAACTAGGCTGGTGGCTTCAATCTGGGCCTCAAATTTGCAATCCTTCTGCCTCAGGAAAGGTTTTCCTGCATGCTGGGACTAAAGGCATGGGCCACTACACCTGGCAACACTTCAGTTAGATGTTGGCTCTCACACTCTCACAGCGTGCATTTCAGCCGAGATCATTTCAAAAAACCAACCAACAAGCTTCTATTGTTTTCTTCTAGCTAATGCTCTGTTTTTAAACCCTAAAGACATGAAGTTGCACTATGGTGATCTCACTGACAGTACCTGCCTTGTGAAGATCATAAATGAAGTGAAGCCTACAGAGATCTACAACCTTGGTGCCCAGAGCCACGTCAAAGTAAGAAATTGTCATTGTCATGATTTCTCTGGCTGTGTTCTGAATTTTACTCATGTGTGTTTGCCTCTTGATACAATAGTACACCCACTTACTCTGGTCTTAGTCATCAAGGTTAACCCTCAATATTAGTTTGGGTATTAGTCCTAATAGAAATATTGATAGGTTTTTAAAAGATGTAGTCTCTGTTACTGAACAAATTTTACTGAGTAAAATTTTACTGCTGAGATTGAAGTGGCAGTTTTCATTTATTTGGGTCTTGAGCCCCCATCAGATGTATTTTCTGCCATTTCACATCACAGTGTGAATGAAGTATTTTGTTAAAATGTTAAAAGATAACTCAGTAAAACCTTTATTTTAATACTGCTTTTGTTATTGGCTAACTCGCTGAAAAATATTTTTTGATTTCTAATAATATTAAAATTAGCTGAATCAACTGTTATGAGTGGTAAAGATCAATGGAAGAAAGGTTTTTTAGCCTTTTCTTCCTCAATGTGACTTCCCTGGTGCCCTGCCACCTTGGTTTACTCTTTCTTTCTGGAACAAACTGCAGTAAATCCAAGAAGCCCTTCCCAGGCTTTAGTGATCTGCTTTACTCAGGTTTTGGTGACTGTGTTTGACTGCTCCATTGGGTGAGTGAAATCTGAAAACAGGGATGATCTGAGTTCTACTTAGATACTCATTCCATTAGGATGGTTAGTGGAGCTTGGAAATAAAAGTAAACAACTCTTACATTAAAAAGAGCTGGAAAAAAAAAAGCCCAAAAAACTCCAGAAAATCTATCAGCATATTTTGTTGTTTGGTGAACAAAATAGCAGTTTTATTTCAGGAAGTATATATGATGGTTTGATCTCTCTCTATTCTCAACTTTGTACAGAATGGAGTCTATTTGTCTGTTTTTTATACCTCTTTGACTTTAAGGAAGAAATTATGAACTGAATATAATGCAGTATCACAGTAATTCCAGCCTTATAATAACAGATTTAAAAATTGAGTGTCAGTCCTCATAATACCTTTTTCTCTAAACTGTTAACATTAAGAATGTCCACATATTGATCATAAATATACCTCTTTCCTGCCTGTATCGTCTAGGAAGAAAATTTTCCCACCTTTTTTTTTTTTTAATGGCATTGCATATGGAACCCAGGATCGCGAACATATTATGCACCTACTATACGAGAGATATAACAGCAGCCCCTTTTGCTTTCTTAATCTCTGTGATTCTGTTTTATATCTAGACCTAAAATTTGGTCTATAAGAGGTATCAGGGTCTTTAGATTCTAGTGGAGCTGTTTTCCTGAGTGATTCTCAATATGTTCTAATTGTGATAGGGTATCTTATGCATTCTCTGCTTGAGAGGTTATCCATTCTCTTTTGTGCAGAGAAGCTGCACAAAATGACTGTATCATTTCAGGAATGAAGACTTTTCTCTAATTGAGGCAGTCAGCCTATCTTTCACCTTATAATTCATTTGTCTGTTTCTTGGCCTTCCTGAGCAGCCGTGAGAGAATCTTTCAGACAGAGTGGAAGATTTTGGAATGAGTATTTTGTTATTCAGTTTCCCTAAGGTGAAGTAGTTTTCTTTGTAATTATAGATTAGTTTATCATGTCGAGAAACTGTAAACAGGATGATAGGAAGATGTGGGGAACTTTCTAAAAATTCATTTATAGAAGCCCATTTCCCTGTCATTTTAGTATCAATTGAGCTGGTCCTGTCCTTTTTCTAAGATGTATTTGTAGTTCAAAAGCCTGTTATTGTTTTCTTTAGTTACAGTGATCGCACTTGTATTTGGGTATCATTTTTGGGTGGTTATATTATAAGTAATAGGAGGTTGAGTCGATTGCCTCTCAGTTACTATATATGTGAATATCTGTTTTTATTGTGTTTTCATTGCTTTTCCTAAAGGGTCAGTTAATTGGCAGGAATGGTTCTCAATTAAGGCTTTTGGTTTGTCACATTAAGATTCCACCTTGCTCTTGCTAGAATGGCTATCAAGAACACAAACAATGACAAATGCTGGTGAGGATGGGGCAGGGAAGGAACCCTCATAGTTGGTGGGAATGTAAATTCTGCATCTACTGTGAAAACCAGTATGGAGGCTCCTCAAAAAACTAAAACTAGAACTACCATATTATCCAACAATACCACTTCTAGGCATATATCTGAAGGACTGTAAGTCAGGATACAATAAAGATACTTGCACACCCATGTTTATTGCAGCACTATTCACAATAGCCAAGCTATGGAAATAGCCTAGCTATGGCAATAGCCCAGATGCTCTACAACTGATGAATGGGTTAAGAAAATGTGATATGTATATGTTTGTATATATACACATACACAATGGAATTTTATTCTGCTGTAAGGAATGAAATTTTGTCATTTGCAGGTAACTGAATGAAAATTTGTCATTTGCAAGTAAATGGATGGAACGGGAGAACATCATCTTAAGTGAGATCAGCCAGGTTCAGAAAAACAAAGGTTGCATGTTTTCTCTCATATGTGGAAAACAGATCCAATACAAGCATTATCATATATACATATAAATGTGTAAAGAACATGTTTCCTCTAACAGTGGGACTGTTAAAGTAAGGAAGAAAAGAAAAGAAGATAGAGAGTGAATAATAATAAAATACATCACATCTATGTAGGAACAAGTACTGAAAACAGTTGAACAATACAGGGTAGGAAGAAAAGAGTAAGGAAGAGTATGGAGGGGGTTAGACTGATTTAAGTATAGTATATTTACATGTACAATAAGAAGGCAGATCCCCACTGAACAACAAACAATAAAGGATGGGAATATAAAACAGGTTATGTTAAAGGGAGGGTATCAGAGGAGGGAGAGGGTAAAGGAGGGTGACTGTGGATGATATACTTTCTATACAGGTATGAACAATCCCTTTAAGAAAGGGAATGGGAGTAGGAGGGAGAGTAATGGAGAGGATAACCAAATTGGAATACAAACATGTATATATGGACATGTCCCAAGGAACCCCCCCATATAACTATCATATGCCAGTAGAAATGTTTAAAAAATAAAATAATAAAATAAAAGAATATTTGAAAACACAAAAAAAGAATTTTGGTTTGTAAGGTTATTTAATCCTTCAACAAATGTTTGTTAAGTGCATACCTCATTCAAGGTACTATGAATGATACAGTGGATGACAAATGCATAAAATCCATTTCTGCTGTGGAGGAGTTCAATTTTAGTAGGGGTGTTTGGTGGCAAGTGCCACTCTGGCACAGAGTCTTCATCTATGATTGTAAGAACTTTTGTAAATGTCACAGTGTATCCCCAGTACAACAATAATGTAATAAAAAAAATCATTAGAGAAAGATGAGTGGGAACTTCCATCTGAAGGATTATGGATGGTGTCAAGGAGGAAGGAGTGGGCACTGGCTCAGGTCTTGATGTATAGTGAGGGCATTTGTAGGTATAGTGGGAAACGTCAAAATGGAGGCAATAACATAAAGCTAAGAGTTACAAGAGAGGAAACTCAGGTCATATTGCAGCATGATGAGCATTTGTATGGTCACCTGGGCAAAAGGAATACTGAGGAGGGAAATGTGAGAACAGGTTATGTAGGAAGGGGGGCTATGTCCAGTCAACCTCTATGTTTTAAATGGGGGAGAAATGTATTCATACATGAGTCTTAGAGGTATAGCTGGAGAAGACATAGGAAGTTCTTGGATTTGAATGGTGGCACAGGAAAGGAGGTGGGAGGAGGACAGAACAGGATGCCTGGTGGAGCTGACTTCCCTGCCCACTAGATGTGGTCACCAGGGAGGAGGGAAAGCCCCAATGCTCAGGGGATCAGACAGTTGATGAAACCACAAGAAGTTTTACTTGGCAGTACTTGAAAAACACTCAGGTGAAGCAGGTCATGAGGTGGTTTAAAATATGTTGTGAGGCTTGAGAGGGCTTTGAAGTGTAGAGGTGTAAATTTAGCTCCCAGAGTCCTTGAGATGGTGGGTGGTTGCTGAAGGAAGAGAGGTAGGAGACTGAAGATTGAATCTTGGGGACAGGCCTTCACAGAGTAGAGTAGGAATAGGGTTGATTGATGGAGAGAATGGAGGATAAGAGAGAGAGAGTGGGTGGAATTGTGTCTTGGAAGTCCAGAAGTTAGACCATTTTAAGCAGAAGGGGATGAATCTGGGAGAGAGAGGATTGGGAAAAGGTCACTGGCCTTGGCAGTAATGTGGCAATAACTTGCAACTTTTGTTTCGGTGGCACTATGGATGGAACCTTGTTCCTCATGCTTGCTAGGAAAGTGCACTACTACTGAGCCACATCTCTAGCCTGACTTGGACTTTTAAAAGAGTATTTTAGGGATGAGATGGAAAGAGTTAGCCAGAACACAAGGGGTTTAGAAGTTGAGGGTTTGTGAGGGGAATGTAAATTGAGTGGATTCTTTTCTAGAAATTTCCTATTGGAAAGGCAAGAGAGAATATGATAAAGCTTATATCACCATCCCCTCTAGTTTTCTAGGCCCTTCCCCAGAATCTCTGATTCTTTAGGTGCAGAGGAAGGGAGGACTTGCATTTTTAGGATGTGTCCAGGTGATGCCGACCGTGGTCTGGTTACCACATTTTGAGAACCATTGCTCTAGTGTTTCGGACTTCTTGATTTATCCATGTAGAATCTATGCTTTAAGTACATTCTTCTTAGACTTTCTTCCTTTAATGTATTAACTTTTGAGTTTGGTATGAAATAGTCCTGTTATTTACCAGTTAATGATAGTGTGAGCTTTTAAAGTCCAAGGCTATGCCTGCAATTAGAATGGAAAGAGTCTCAAGAGAATCTGACATACCTTTATATCTGCCCAAGTTCTTCACATTCAGAAATCTTTTTTTTCCACATAGTGTCTAGTCCATGAGCATAAATACTTCTCAGTTACTCCTAATATTTTATTTATTTATTTATTTTTTTTTTTTCATTTTTCTTTTATTATTCATATGTGCATACAAGGCTTGGTTTATTTCTCCCCCCTGCCCC